TTTATGGATCTCAACAATTATTTATTTAGTCTCTGAGGAGGCCAACAGGGCAAACCTGCCAACTCCGAGGGGTGAAAGTTAACATTCACCTCCCAAACTCAAGCCTCAAAACTGCATCACAGACAGCCCGCAGGCCTTGGGCCTCTTCCTGCCAAGTCCAACATTCTCCTGCCTCTTTTTCCAGTCCTGGAAACAGAGGGTGCTTTGGGGGAAATAAGAGGAGCCCCTCCCCAGGGTCACACAGATAGAACTGTCTCCCTAAGTCACACAATCACAGAAACCCTGTCACCTTCCTGCCCTCCCCCACAGCACATGTGCCCATCTCTCTTCTCTTCTGTGCCCAGGGGCCTCACACCTGCCAGGTGTGCATCCCTCTCCACTGTGCTTCTGTGTCTCCCAACTCCTGTCTGGGTGCGTTTGTCCCTAGAATACTCATCCCATCCTTGCCCTGACCTCATCCCTCCAGCAGCCCTCTATCCATCTACCATTCAAAACCTCCCCCACTCCCACCCAGGGCTGCAGGACACACCTCAGGTCCTGGGAAAATAGTGACTGAAAGAAGGGGCGCAGGGTCTGGGCTGGGCGTGGGGGGACACTATGGGAGGGGGAGACTTGGTGTTGCCTGAAGGTAGGAAATGTCCCACAGAGGGGCAGTGGGTGGCTTTCAGCCTCTGAGATGGATGAAGGGCCTGTGTGTGTGTGTGTGTGTGTGTGTGTGTGTGTGTAGGGCTCCTGGTCACCCCTAATCGGAGATTTTTATTAATGCAAACATGGAGGGGCTGGTGAAGCAGCACCATCTATTGAACTCTGCCCCCCCAAAAAAAGAGGGGAGGGGGGCTTAGAGCAGCCAAGTCCAGAAAGAATTCAACCCCATTCCCAAAGGTAGTTAGCTTTGGGGTCTCTCCCCCTCTGTGTCTCTTTCCACTTGATCTCTCTCCAGATCTCGGCAATGACCACCGCCATTAGGTAAGGGGAGAGAGTCAATTAGTGGGAGGATTAATTACTCGGAGGCGCGAGCCCCGTTTGTCTTCCTTACGGGGTGTGTGTGTTCAGACAGGGGAACACGGGCACGCACCCAAATACACATTGTTGTCACGCCGTCTTAGACGTTTTATTTATTTGTTGGATTCCTGCCCAGAGCCGCTCACACGCTTTGCTTTTCCACGGGCGCCGAGTCTCCCACCAAACACACCGCCTCCTCTTCTCCCGCCTCGGAGCGCGCCTGTCACACCCCCGCCGCGTCCCCCTAGTCCCCAGTCCCGCAGGCCGCCCCTCGGCGCCTGTCCCCGCCGCTTTTTTATTTTTTGGTTGTTGTTGCTGCGTGTCTCCCCCCCCCCCCTTTCTTTTCCTCTACTCTTCCATGCGTTTCCCCCAGCACGTCTTTTATTGCGGCTGACTCGTCCACATTCCTCCCTCTTTTCTCTGGTTTTCCGCCCTCATTCTCTTTCTCCATCCCTCTCCCCTCACTTCTCTCTCCTGCCTCCTCCAGCCACCCCACCCCACCCCCCGCCCTTCGGAGACCGCCGCGCCCCGTCTTGGCTCCGCAGCACCGACTCGCATCAGCGATCGCCGCGCTCCCTCGACCTCGCTCCGCTCCGCGCCCAGGATCTCGCCAGCCCCCGTGGGAAGCCGAGCTTGTTGACCCAGCCGAGCGCTCACGTGAAACCCCCGCCGGATGCTGCCCTTTCCTGGTCTCTGGGTACCCCCCCCCCCGCCTCCCCGCGCACTCCACCCCCAAGCCTTCGCTTGGGAAAACCTGGCCGAGGCCAAGTACGTGGGTGATAAGCCCCCCCAAACTTCTCTTCTTCCGTCAGGCCCCGCCTGAGGGATCGCTAGCAAACCGGCTAACTTGGGTTTCTTCCCGGGGAAGAGGAGACAGTCCCGACCCGCTCTCACTGTGGGGGCCAGGGGACCGAGGGCTGTAAACTGTGAAGTGCTGCACACAAGCAGGTCATTTCCAGGACAGAGTGATGGAGTAAGATGAAGGCACCCGGAGGCAGGAGCGAGTGGGAGAGGAAAAGGAGGGACTGGGAGCTCGGGTCTGATGCGAGAGGCGCGGGCCAGTTTCCCGCGTGGCCTGGGAGCATCCTCGCCGGTCCGTGCAGTCTGCGTGGCCTCTGGGACCGGCGGCGTCCAGGGCTCCTCGGGCCCCGCGGCCTCACCGCCCGTCCGAGGGGGTGGTGGGCTGGACAGGAGCGCTGAGGGCGAGAAGGGACGCCGGCATCGGCGGTCGCCGCTCTTGGGAGATGAACAGCGGGGCAGACTCGGGTCCTGGGCCTCAGGAGCCACTCTAGAACGTGGGGGAGGGAGGCGAAGCGGGGCTCGGAACTAAGGAGGCAGCGGTGAGAAAGGTGGTGTAGGATAGGGCTCGTTCCCCGCCCCCCCAAACTGCAGAAGGGCCGGGAGGGCTGGCAGAATCCAGACTGTCCCAGTTCCCCGGCGGGATCCCTCCTCGGGGCTGACCCTCCAGGCGCTTTGCTGAGAAGAAAAGCTTATCCTGTGAAAACCGGCTCCTGGGCCTTCCCCAAGCGTGTCCGGAGGAGGTGGGAGCGCCCTGGGGCGCCCAGTCCAGAGTTTACGGGACCTGGGGAGGTGCGGGAGTGCATAGAGGGAAGGTTGTTGCTCTCCGCAGAGCAGCCGTCGGTTTAAATGCAGAGCTGAGCTGAGCTGAGAGGCCTCGGAGAATTTGGAAAGCTCGGTCAGTTTCCTCTCCACGTCTCTGTGCCCAATTACATTTTAAAATAAAAACTCAGTGGAAACCAAGAAAACATCCATCTAGTCACTAGATTCTAGTGTGCTGTGCCACTGGAGGCGTTAAATCTGGACTTTAAACCTAGAAGCCAGAGCCAGGAGGCGCGCCTGGAGTGGCGCGCCCTGACCTCTTGGTAGCCGCTTGGGTTGTTTCCCGCGGACCTGTTTACTAGCCATCTGGACACAGGGACGAGCAGAGGCCACTGTCCCAGAGCCGGCATCCTGTCCTCACCCTCCGCTCCTCTGCCACGCTGACCCCCCCCCCCAACAGAGATGGTTCCCTGAACCCCCAGATGAGTGCAGCAACCTCCTCCTGCCTAGCCGAAGGGAAGCGGCGGCGGGTGTGGGGTTCAGGAGGGGCCCGCAGCCGGGTCCAGCTGTCACCTCGCAGGTCCCCCGCCGACCGCCCTCCCCAACCCCCGTGGCCCGTCTGCTTTGCATAAGAAGAAGCCCAGCTGGGGTGGGGGCGGTGGCGAGCCGCTGGGACCAAGTCCACTATAGATCCCGGGAAGGGGCGGTTGGGTCCCGGGCGCTAGCGGCGAGAACGCAGACAGCTGGGGGAGGGAGGAGCGTGGGGACCGCGGCACTGGACCAGCCCCTCCCCGCGACCTACCCAGCACGGCGAGGACCCCGCGCCGCGCATCTCTAGGGTCCTGGAGCACCGGGTACGGGTCGGCTTGTTCCTCTTGAAGTGTCGGTCCGCAGGGGGAGCACAGAGCCAAGTCTAAGCCTCGAAGCCCGCTTGCTGGGTTGGAAAACGGCCTCCCATCCCTCCGCCCTCCCCGCATTCAGGAGCCCAAACCTTGTGTGTGTGTGTGTGTGTGTGTGTGTGTGTGTGTGTGTGTGTGTGTGTGTGAAGGGGGTGCGGCGAAGGCGTTAGGTGCTGCGCACCCAGAGGTCAGGGTGGGCGGAGCGCCAAAGCGGTGCGCGGCGGGGCCGGGTTTCCGAGGAAAAGGTGGCTGGCGGCAAGGCGGGGGCCGTCCGCAGGCCCTGGGGGTGTAGGGTGGTGCGGGCGAAGACGTGGAGTCAAAGAAGGGGCGTTGGTAGAACTCAAAATCCCAGTCCCACTGAGGCTCAAACCAAACTCGCTGTAGCAGTTTGCCGGTTCGCCGGAAGAGGGTATTCTATTTGCAAAGGGCTCGATTCCCTGCCCCACGCCCAGGCTCAGTGCAGGTGGGGTCCAGGGCTCATTTCCCCCTCGTGAGCCCCGGAGCTTGTGTGGGATGTCTGACCCTGCACTGCGAGCCAAGTAGAAAGGCCAGTCCCCAAATCCCGGCTGGACCGGGCTGGCTGCCTATCCTTATTTTCTTCCACGCTAGGGCCGGATACTGTCCCCCAGCACCCCTCCTTGGAAAGAAAAACAAAAAACAAAACGGGGAGCAAAACAGCAGGACTGCCTAGCTTTGTAGCCTTCAAATTTCACTTCGGGAGAAATCCCAGTTACTGCATAGAAACGATGCTGTGGAAACGAAATTTGGTATTTGACTGGTGTGGGCCAGGGACCCAGACTGACTCTTCGAGGCTAAGGCTTTCAGGACCCCGAAGCGACCCCCATGTACGCGATAATCCGCCCCCGTGGAAGGTGGTCCCGCGTTTATACTCTGAGCGGGGAATTGGTGAGGTAGTAGGGCTCCCTGAGAGGGAACTCGGAGGGTGTGCACTGTCGGCGGTTGTCTGGGAAAGTTGAGGCCAGCCCGAGGCCTGGAAGAGGGGAGGACCGGTAGCTAGGCTCACCCTGCCCGGGCGCTGCACACTCCAATCCACGGCAGCCTCTAAGTGGTGGTGCCCCAGGCACGGCCCCCTTCCCACCGACACCCCCACCCCCACACGCCCCTGTAGCCCTGCGGTTTCCCGCCTCGTCGCTTGTTTTTATGTGTAAAAGGTGTCTCTGGATCACAGCTTTCTCACAACAACTCGTCCGGGTTGCAACTCTTCACCCAAGGCGTTTCCCCACCCACTCCTGTCCCCTCCCGGGCGCCGCGCCTCCGGTCTCCCCCGCCCCCATCAGGAAACCGCCGGAATCAACTTTACAAGACAGCGCCGCGGGAAACAGACACCCAGATCTCCCAGCGGCCGGGACCCCGTGGACTTCGGCTGGATTGGGGGAGGGGGAACAGGAGGAAGGACCGGAGGAGGGAAATTCTGCTGCCAAGGGCCCTCCCTTCACCACTCCCCCAAAGACGCGCACTGCGGTCGGGCCAAACTTCTAGGCCAAGATTGCAAGAAGAAAGGGGGGGGGGGGGGGAGGCCAACACTCAATGAATTACACTAGGGCCGCCGGGGCTCCCAGACCCAGTTGCACTCCAGTCTTCAACCAGGTTTGATCTTGGAATACGTCCACCCTCCAGCAGAACTGTTCCGCCTGACCTACTCCCGCGTCCCCACCGAAACCGAGGCCTTACCGGAGCAGGAGGGGGCCGGGGCACCTTGCAGCCCGCCGCGCTCACCGCGCCGGGCCGCCGATGCGGCCGCCACTGATCCTCTAAACGCGGTCTCCCCCGCACTCTCTCCGGCCTGGGGATGCAGGATGGTTTACAGAGGGACCGCGAGCCGCTGATTGGTCGCAGGCCGCGGTGACGTCGGCGGGCGCTGCATTAAGGCGAGGGGGCTTCTAGAGCTCAGCCAACAGCCAGGAGCAGTGACCCAGCCGCCGGAGCCGGGGAGAGACGCGCCGGGACGGCGGACTGAGCCAGGAGACCAGGGACAGAGGGACGCTTGTCCAGGGAGAGCCAGCCACGCACCGCGGCCCGGGCGGCGACAGCGGCGGCCGGTGCCGAGCTGTTCCGGCCGCGCAGAACTAGCCGCTGCAACCAGGACGTTTTAAAAAGCGCTCTAAGCTACTCCCCCTCTTCCCGACTCCTCCCGCTGCAAAAGAAAAAAAAAAAAAGGAAAGAAAGAGGCTAGAAAGGAAACCCAGATTTGCCACCACAACGAAAAAAAGAGGGGACAAGAAAAAGAAAAAGTCGAGCGACTGTGGGGTTGGACGCCGGCAGCCGGAGCGTGGGCCAGCGATGCGGGGCTGCGTGCCCAGGCGGCCGCGAATTGTGACTGGAGCCACGATGCACCGCCAGGCGCGGTGAGGAGCCGGCCCGAACCACCTCCCGACGGAGTCCGGGCGCTGGGAGGGCGGTCCGGAGAACGCGGAGGCCGCCAGGCGGGCCCTGGGCCGAGGTGACGGGGCTGGGGCGGTGGGAAGCTAGCGAGCGCGCCCGGCGGCGTCCTCCCGGAGTGGTCCCCCTCCTTTCTCGATTGACACAAACACTTCTCCAAAAGGGGAGAGACCTGAGCAACAACAACAGTCAACTACGAGATCTTCCTCCTGCCCTCCCCTCCGCCCCTCCTCCCGCGGTCTGCCCCCGCCCCCTCCCCCGGCCCACCCCGGGCGCCCAGCACGTCCCGACCCCGCTGTGCGATGCCTGCAGTTTAGGATCCAAAGCTTCTCTACTCGTTTTGTTCTTTTCTTTTATAAAAAGAGGAGGGGAAGTCCCGGTGGCGGGCAGCCGGGCACACACACAACCCGCCCTCGCACCCCGACAAAAGCAGATGCACCTAGACTTCTGACAGCTCTACCTCAAGCCCGTGAGAACTCCCTGCAAATAGCTCGTCGCGTGCGTCGCCCTCTTGCTTCCCCGTTTTATTTATTTAATTCGTTACCCTCACCGTCTCGGTGACCTTCACTCCTCCGAGGGTTCTGGGCAGAAGAGTCGCTTTCGCACCCGCCGGAGACTCTTTTCCTCACCCCAGGAGCGGTGGTGGCACTGCTGGGCCCGGGGCCTTGGGACGCCCAGGCTGCACACCACCGAGGCGCTCCGTTTGCCTCGCCCCCCCCCCCATTTTGATTTCCTGGTGCGGATTTCGGCTGGCACCGCCGTGTGTGTCTCCTCTTTTTGGAGGGACTGGGGAGCTCCTTTCGGGAGTCAACCCCTCTGCTCTACCTGCTCTTCTCTCTCCGGGCCTCACCCGACTAAACCAAAGACCATGGTGCACTGTGCCGGCTGCAAAAGGCCCATCCTGGACCGCTTCCTCTTGAACGTGCTGGACAGGGCCTGGCACGTCAAGTGCGTCCAGTGCTGTGAATGTAAATGCAACCTGACCGAGAAGTGCTTCTCCCGGGAAGGCAAGCTCTACTGCAAGAACGACTTCTTCCGGTGAGTACTTCCCTCGCGGGCCGCTGCCGCTCCCTTTCCGCGGACCCTTCGGGGCCAGCCACGGATCAGGGGTCAGCGTGGTTGCGTTAGGGGACTGCCTTTGGAGAGGGCAGCCAAGTCCCGCAGGCGCCCGCCTCTTCGCCAGCTGGCGCGCTGGGCTCCCCGGACGCGTCCCTGCTTGCATCCTGGAAATTGTGGGTCGCGGCTTAGCTGCACGTGCCCAGGAAAAAAGGGCCTGAGCCCGCCTCGGCCCAGAAGCCCCTCCGAGCTTGGAGGAAGGCAGTGCGGCCTCAGGCGTGGTAGCCCTGGCTGCTCTCCTTCCCAGTGCGCGGAGCTCTCCAGCAGCTGCATTCTCCCGGCCTCCTGGGTTGCTTGCCCTCCGGGCTCAGCAATACGCTCTACGCCGCCGCGGCTAGAGGTCTCCAAGAGGTCTTGGCGGGAACCGCGGAGCTTTTTGCACCGGGTGCCACAGCCGCTTGCCCAGGCATCGGCAGGAAGTAGCCCCTATCCTACACATCCCGGGGCGTTCCCGAAACCCCGACCAGCCTCCCGGCGCTTGCCTCGGCAAACTGCCTCTCCGCCACTGTGAAACGCGCAGAGGCTGCCGCCTCCCTGAAGATCGTTTCCCCTGCTCACCCCGCTGCCTGGGGTTGGCGGGAGGTTTGGCCTCCGCCCTACGCGGACTTTGGCTCTGGGGCGGGGGGATCCACTCGGAGCTCTCCCAAGCACTGCCCATCACCCCGCCACCTCCTTTCGGAAACTTGGGGGGAAAGCCACGAATTCTCCCGACGCCCCTCCATTTAGCATTTTAATCGTATTCTCTGAAATTCACTGTTGGGTCACCAAATCCACACAAACGCACAAGTCAACAGAGAACTGGAGCGAATTCGAATTGTCATTCCCCGTGCGGTGCTGGAAGCCTCCCAGTTTCCTGGGCTGACTAGGTCTCTATTTTCTTCGGAGTCTGTAGTAACAGATCAAACTGGGAGAGGGGGGTGGGTGGGAGTTCAAGCCACCTGTCCCCAATGCCACCCCAGGACGCGTGGCTCCGGTTACGGGAGACTGCAGCAAAGCGCGGTGCAGGCTGGTATTGCCAGGAGAAGCCCAGGCTGAAGCTTTGAGCCTCGGCAGGCCATGCCCGCTTTCCCTGGCGCTGGCTGGAACCCAGCGGGGGAGCCGCGCACCGTGCCAGTGGGCCCCAGAGGCCTGGCCCTCCCGCAAAGCGCGTCCCGGTGTCTAAAGCCAAGCCGCGGCTCTAGCTTGCGCCAACCTGCCTGTCTTTGGGCTTGAACGTGGCTGCGGTCCAGCTGCGGCCGTCTGGGCTCTCCCAGGCTGTTTGTTCACCTGCAGCGGGACTGGACCTCGCCAACCCCTCCACCCCCCTCCCCCCGCCAGTGCGCGGGTCCTTTGGCGGTGAAGGAGAAAGGGCGCTAGAAGAAAAGCGGCGCTAGGGTGGCGTTTATAAGGCGCTCTAATTAGAATTTGACTGTTTCCTGAATCTAATCGGAAAATAAGTGCCTCCCTCCCCCTTCCCTTCTCCGCCTTGCCGCCTTCTCTCTCGGGCAGCGCTTTTTTCCTCGGGGACACATCGGGCATGAGGCTAGGAGTGGGGTCAGTTTGGGCTCCGCGCGCTCTCACTCTAACGAAATGGATCTCCTCCCGGACTTTTCGTGGTGTCCGCGCTCTCTTCTGCTTTCTTGCCTACTTGATCGGCATTCTGTCTTTCTTACTTTTTTGCTGTCTCTCTTTTTTCATTTCCCCCTTCCTTTTCGCCTTCCTCCATTTTCCACTTATTTATTTCTCCCTGTCTTTTCCCCTGCTTCTGTGTTCTCTGCCCCTTTCCCCCCACCCCCCCTTGCAGGTGTTTCGGTACAAAATGTGCAGGCTGCGCGCAGGGCATCTCCCCTAGCGACCTGGTGCGGAGAGCGCGGAGCAAAGTGTTTCACCTCAACTGCTTCACCTGCATGATGTGTAACAAGCAGCTCTCCACCGGCGAGGAGCTCTACATCATCGACGAGAACAAGTTCGTCTGCAAAGAGGATTACCTAAGCAACAGCAGCGTCGCCAAAGAGAACAGCCTGCACTCGGGTGAGGCCCCAATTCCCCGCGCACCCTGGGCGGGCAGGTCCTGGGCAAGGAAGGTCGGCCAAGGCCACTGCTCACACCTGTCCCTCCCTTCTCTCCAGCCACCACGGGCAGTGACCCCAGTTTGTCTCCAGACTCCCAAGACCCGTCGCAGGACGATGCCAAGGACTCGGAGAGCGCCAACGTGTCGGACAAGGAAGGGGGCAGCAATGAGAATGACGACCAGAACCTGGGCGCCAAGCGGCGAGGGCCACGCACCACAATTAAAGCCAAGCAGCTGGAGACGCTGAAGGCTGCCTTTGCCGCGACGCCCAAGCCCACGCGCCACATACGCGAGCAGCTGGCTCAGGAGACGGGCCTCAACATGCGCGTCATTCAGGTCAGGGTCCACTCGGTTCCCACAGATCCACAGGACTCCTCCAGGCCAGCTCGCAGGAGCGGGGGCCGGCCTTGGGGTGAGGAGAAGCCCAGACACACCCTTACCCCTTTGGACATTTGAAGCTCTGCCCAATGTTTAGAACGACTGGAAACCCCTAGGTCTCCTCTTCCTGGTGATCATGGTGGCCGAGGGCGGAGGGAAAGGGAGCTAGGGAGCTCTGCAGGAGTTTGGAGGAAGGGACATGGTGGGACACTCGGTGAGAGTTGGGACACTTTTTCTCTGCACCACCTACCCCTGTTCCGAAGGAGCCCAGAGGTCACTGTGCATGTGGAACTTAATGGATCCTCTGGCTTCTGCACAAGGAGATCTCCCTCTACATCCCTAACCCCAACTTTGTGGGTCTCTTGCCCTAGTTAGACAAGTCCCAGAGCAGAGGCTTCCCCGCTGGAGAGAGTGGGGCATCCTGGTTAGAAGGTGAGATGGTCAGTCTCCGGGGACTCAGCCCTACCTCATGGGCCCAGGTAGGATGGGGAGGGAGGTAGCCATCTGGGCAGCTGTGCTGGTGTTGTAAGCATCTGAGACTGCACGTGCTTCGGGTGGAGGCTCTGGCCCAAGTTCAGTTGTCCCGTTCATGTGCCTGGATGCTCTTCCAGGGTGTGCGTGGATGCGCCTGGGAGGCTGAGGGTGCACATACGTATGCAAGCTGCCCGGGGGGGATCCAGCGTCTGGGAGGTTGTGCCAAAGTGCACGCACGTGAATGGTAGGCTGCATGTCTGTGTCACTATGAGTGAGCGGCTGCGGATAACTATCTTTGGCAGTGGAAGATTGTGCGTGGGTGTGGAAAGGATATTGTGCGATTTGGTGTCACTGTCGTTGGGAGATTGAGTGTCAACAGGAGGCTGTTTAGTTCTCTGTCTGCTATCATGTGGAGGAGGGAGCTGCCAGGGACCGTGGAGGAAAACTGTGTGTCTGACACTACTTGGGGAGGCTGAGTGTCTGTGCATAGCCCGGGAGAAGCTGTAACTATGACATTGTGACTTAGAAACAACTCCAACTGCCTCACGTTGGGCAGGGCAGCTTGCCCAGGTCCTCCAGGCGGGAATCCTGTTCACCGTTGGCTCAGGGGCCGCCCAGCGCTGCCCTACTCAGAGGACCCCACCCCCAACACCATACACAACACGCGCGTATATGCGCACGCCCACACACACGCACACACGGAGCTCTGAGAGCTAGGCTGTGGAGTGTAGGGGCCGGCGGGGCGGCTAACCTGAAATGGGGAGTGGGGTTTTGTGGCTTCACCCCGTGGCATGTGTGCTTCAGGTCTGGTTCCAGAACCGACGCTCCAAGGAACGGAGGATGAAGCAGCTGAGCGCGCTGGGCGCCCGGCGCCACGCCTTCTTCCGCAGTCCGCGCCGAATGCGGCCGCTCGTGGACCGTCTGGAGCCGGGCGAGCTCCTCCCCAACGGGCCCTTCTCCTTCTACGGAGGTGGGTGCACTGCCCCGGGCAGGGCTCGGCTAGGCCCGGGTTGGCTTCGTTGGAAGCGGGTGGCAGCGCGGGAGGCGCTTCTCTCAGGCCACAGATCAGAGGAGAGATGGGGGAGGCTAGGCATTAAATGAGGGGGGAGGTGGAATCCCCGAGCCTGAATGAGGCGGGTGGGCAGTTAGCGAGCAGCTCCAGTGTGTGCACCCAGCCTCCTCCCAGCTCCCAGCCTGGAAGGGAGCCCCCAGCCGGCTGGCTAGGGTGCCTTCCTGCCCTTTATCCCACCCCACCCTGGGACCCCGCCCTGATCTCTTCCCCCTGCTCCGCAGATTACCAGAGCGAGTACTACGGGCCCGGAGGCAACTACGACTTCTTCCCGCAAGGCCCCCCGTCCTCGCAGGCTCAGACACCCGTGGACCTACCTTTCGTGCCATCGTCCGGGCCGTCCGGGACGCCCCTGGGCGGCTTGGAGCACCCGCTGCCGGGCCACCACCCGTCGAGCGAGGCGCAGCGGTTCACCGACATCCTGGCGCATCCCCCGGGGGACTCGCCCAGTCCCGAGCCCAGCCTGCCCGGGCCTCTGCACTCCATGTCGGCTGAGGTCTTCGGGCCGAGCCCGCCCTTCTCGTCGCTATCGGTCAACGGCGGGGCGAGCTATGGGAACCACCTGTCTCACCCTCCCGAAATGAACGAGGCGGCCGTATGGTAGCCGGGTCTCGCGCGGTCCGCGGAGTTCGTGGTTGTACAGAAATGAACTTTTATTTAAGAAAAATAGAAAAAAGAAAAAAAATCATAAAATTCAAGTCACACCCCCCACACACACTACCACCACTTTCCTCCAGCCTCGGGGACCATTTTCCGTCTGGGGAGACTGGATGGGAAAGGGAAACATGACATAGGATTGAAATCTGCCTGGAGGTAGGACTGGGATCCGCGAGCTGGCTGGCCCGGTGCAGGACTGGGCTTCCAAAGGGAAACACAGACCTCTCCTCGCCTCCCACCTGGACCCGACTCCGTGGACAGACAGCGCGGGCGTGCGAGTCTGGCCGGTGGGCGGCACAGGAACGACCACGCCGGCCTCCGGGGTGCACAGCTCAGTGGTGACGCCAGGAGGGAGGCTGCGCCCACACAGCCCGGCTCCGGCTTTGGAGGAGAGCGGTCCTCGGGCGCTCCCAGGCCAGCCCAGGGGGCTCTGGCTGTGGGGAACCTAATAGTGTTGGTCTCAGTTCAGCAACAGCGACAAAAAACTTAATAGCTTCAGAAACGTCGACCTGCTGTGCATCAGGTGGGACTATATATATATATATATATTTTGTCTCTCTGGGTTTTTTTTGTTTTGTTTTGTTTTTGCCAAAATTGCAAAATTCTAAATGTAAAGCCCTCAGTATCAACTCTTCTACCTTCACAAAGCTCTACACACCTATACACACAGACACACTGGATAGGACGGTCTCCAGCCAGACCTCTCAGTAAAATGACTTGAACATCATCTGTACAAGAAAAGTATTCTACTTTCACACACACACACACACACACACAGAGTTTTAAAAAAGACTATTGAACTAAAAACAGTCAACTGTTTACGTATAATGTTAAATTCAGGAGTTCAGTGTTTTACTAATACATCCTGTTTTGAAACCTCTTGTTCAAAAACAAAACGTTTTGAGCAGTCAACCAAAATTGTTCATTTTCTTTTCCTGTAGATGTTCTGACAGATTTGCAGGGCTCACAGCTCACTGTGCTAGTATGTAAAAAGGTGTTGTTTACACAAGGCAAAAAGAAAACACGATATTCAGACACTTGCCAAATAGAATAATTATAGCACAAATACTGTAAAGGTGCCTGGCACCACAACCTGAGAAAGTGTTAAAAAAAAAAAAAAAGTGTTACAAGGTTTAAGAAAAAAAAAAAACATCTTTGCTAATTTTTAGTCCTGTTGAACATTCATGGAATTGTTAATATGACTTATATAGACCCACACAGGTTTTATTTTTGTGTCTTTAAAATAAAAGTCCAAAATATTTAAATTTTATGGTCAAATATGCAGTCAGCAGCTGCTACTTTTTTCTTTATATATTAAATTTCTCATATGTCTTTTATTGTTCTGATAAACCTAAGCTTGTGTGACCTCCAGTGCATATTAGACCATTCACTGTATGAAAGAAAACATGATGTTGAATAAATTTGTGAGTTTTTAATAAAAATAGAAAATCTGATGTTTAGATAATCGGTGTGTTATTTGATGTTTTAAGAACTAGAAGGGAGGCAAGATGGGGAGCCCAATGACCCCTTAGAAGTGAGGCAGGACTGAGTTATCTGTTTTCACCTTGGTTGTGGTTGAACCCCATTGCTAATGCCAGCCAAGCTTTTCTCCATGGCTTCCTGCTGTTATTAACTACAGATTTGCATTCTGTGGATTTAACTGGCACAGTTGAAGAGATCTTTGCTGATAAGTTAATATAGAATTTGAAATAGAAATAAAATCCATGGCTCAAAATGAATAACCATAGTCTGTGATTAGGCATGAGATCCCATGCACTCTCCCCGCCCCGCCACCCCCTGCACAAACAAGACTGGACTTGCGAATGTCAGCTGCAAATATATAGTCAGAGGTGGTCTTTTTCAGTTTCAATTCATTTCCCATAGATAATCCTGTTTTCTAATTTGGTGGTTTGAAAGATAATGTAAAATGAATGTACGGTACAGCTAAAAGTGAGATACTTTAATCCCTTTCACAGAAATGATATGAAATAGTTGTTTTATAGTATTTGTTACATTTGAAGTTCCCCAGAAGGAAAATTATTTTGCTGGTACAGATACATATTACGTTTCTTTGAGAGATGAATAAAAATAACCAATATAGAAATCAAATGTCAACTGGCAGTTGCCCATTAGTTCTGAAAAGTGGTTCAGTCCCTTCCAAGCCTTCATTAAATGTGGAAGGAATTTAAATATTTTATCTACTATGAAATACATGTGTGTATTTCATGTTTTAATATCAAACGCTATTGGAGTTCCAGGATTTCTTTTCCACATCACCTAGATTTCACACTGGGTTATTTACTTACCCCTCTTTTTTAAATCAAGGTTTTACATTAAAAGGCATGTAATTTCTAGTGTTGTTTTCATATTTTGTTAAGACACAACCAACTGTATCTTGCCTGACAAGAAGGCTTTAAAATAAGCAATATTTCACTGCACCCATAGGATGGCTTATCGAATGGGGAGGACTACCAGGGAGGAATCTGATGGTGTCCTTGCAGAAATCCAAATTTATGAAATACAGGAGAGACTTCTGAAACACCTAGCCTCTGCACACTGTACATTTCTTTATCCGCTTTGTATGCAAGCACTGGATGGGTTTGTTTTTCCTCCCCGTTTAGCATTTATTTGTGTTAAATCATAGCCAACTTATTTATTATAGCCACCCCCTTTAAAGACATTCATTTAACTGCACCTCATTGGGAAGCTGCATTTTCCTATCAAGCCTACTGAATTATTTAGCAGCTTTATTGTGGAATCGGGTGCTTGATAAGAATCGTTTTAGAGTTGGGCGCTCCAAGGCAGCAGCTCAGTCTTTCCGCCTTGGCGCTGTCCCCTGAACCCTAGCGAATACCTGAACAGGTGGCAAAGCTTAGCAGTCAATTTTGGAGCTGCCTGAGAAGAGGAGATCTAGAAATGTCAGCAACTGTTCCTCCTTCCTGTCAGAGCCTGGCTGCCCACCTCTAGCTCTGAGGTGCAGAAAAGCACCTCACCATCCCCACTCCGGTGGGGCTAGGAGCTCCCAGAGAAAGACACAGCCAGCCAGGCAGAGGGGAGCACCAAGGCAGTCCCCTCCTGCCTAGGAGGGCACTCTCCTCTCTGGTAGCCTGGTTTCTCCCTGCAGCCATCTTAAAGGCGCCACCACTTGTGCCTTTTGCCACCTGCCCTCAGGGTGCCAGCAGCAGGGTCGCCATCTGCCCTGGGAGAGAGAGGTGAAACCCACCCACCCAACTTCTCCAGGCTGGGGGAGGCTGTGGGGATCTGAGGGGCTACTTTAAGGTGAGACAAGGTTGGGGAGGACTAGTCGAGGAAAGCCAGGACAGGCATTGGCAGGGCCTGGGACCTGGAGATGGTTAATATCAGAAAAGAGAAGAGAGACAGTGAAGAACCTGGTTTCCCCAAGCTCTTGGTCATGTGACAGGCCGTTGATTGGGACAAGGGGGTGGGGTGGTATCTAATGGCACCCTTGCCCATACTCTGGTATTCCTCCATCTGTCTGCCACTTTGCAGCCCTTAGGCGGCAAGCAGAGGGAGGCCCTCTCATCTTCTCTGGAGAGGACTGTTCTTTTCGGAGTGTGCTCCCATTTACTCCCATCCCCCTGCTTATCTCATCTCTAGAGCAGTCAGAGGTTTACATTTCTTCTAGGAAGTGAAGTCTTTGAAATATGTCCGCCCATAGTCCACACTTCTCTCCTTCCCATCCCCACCAGGAAACCCCTCTTTCCTTCTCAAGAAACTGGAGGGTGGGGGACAAAGAAACCATGGGAGGTTGCTCTCCTGCCCCATGCCTCAGTTTCTCTCAGTTGCATGTTAAGTTTTGGAATTATCCCTCTTTTCTCCACTCCTGGAATCCTCTCCCTACCCTCAGTGTGGGGTAAGAAAACAGGGGAACATTTGGGGGCCCTGGGATGTATGAGACAGGAGTGGCTGTGTCCTGTTCCCATGACAGCTTAGAGGTGGTCTCTCACCTGCCTTTCCTTCCTCCCCCTTTCTCGCTTTTCTTTACCCCCAGGGCAGATTTCTAAGCAGTATTAGTGTCCAAAGAGGAAGGGAAGAGGATTGTGGGAGGTAATTTCCTAAATATGGGCTGAGAGAAACATTTTTGTCCTTCAAAGCCCAGGACAATGGCCCCTTGTCACAGCCTGAGGAGCATGCTTTTGCTCTGAGAGGGGCACCAGACTTCAATTCCAGGGGATATGTGGTGTTTGTTTTTTTAAAAAGCTATTTTCTAGCTTGAATTTTCTTGCAGACAGTAAAAAACAGGGTTTGGTTGTGTGTGTGTTTGTTGTTGTTGTTTGTTTTTTGCCTGAGTCCCCTGTCCAGGGTGCTCCAGTTCTAGCCTGGCGTTCTTTCCCTTCCATGTTTGTGGGGGAGGTCAATCCTAAAACAGGTCTCCATCCCCTATTCAGCCACCCAGGAAGGGACATATGTATGACAAGGCACACGGAAGTGGTGGACTCTCATTGATCTTGATCCTGAAGGCATATGACGACTGTGAACGTCAGGGTTTCCTACTTCCCTTGGGTCCCCCAGTAAACACTGGGGAGCTGAGGGTTCCCTAGGAAGTTCAGCTGTGGGATGCAATTAGCCTGGGCTGTACCCAAGAAGGGCATGGGACATCTTTAACGTCTGTTTTCTGGATTCTTTTGGGGCAGTTTCTGTTTAGTGGTTTTCAGTTCTCTACAAGTGACTTCAAACAGATACTGGAAGGGTAGACGGCTCTGTAAGCACACTCATCTCTTATTGTTGCTTCTATTTACAAGTTCATCTGCTCATCTAGGCTGATCACCAAGGAGAGACTCTAACTTACTCATCTTTGCATCTCTTCTAGCAGTGCCTGCCACATAGCGGGGCGGTCCGGGAATGCTTGACGAGGAAAGAGAATATTAAAGGATTGTGTCTTCCCATGTGCCTGATTGCAATTGAATAGATCTTTATTAAGCCTTTATATTCTGAGTCTACCAGTGCCCCTCTAATGGTAGACTTGAGGTTTTCTGTATTTGTGTATCAGTTCCAAGTGTCTGAGTATGCCCTCATCTTTGAACAGCAGAGACATCAATAGAATGGGTGTGCATAGTAGTAACCCCCTCCCCATCCTCTTTTCCCTGTTCAGACAAGGCTACTTGGAGAAACTACATAATCAATCTTTATTTATGCACAACCATAGCGATTCCTAATTATTCCTATTAGTAAAGATGCCAGCAGTCTGCCGTACACTTACACATACACATCTCTGATGTAGGATTCCCAAATGCTGGCTACTGCGGGGCCAAAGTCTTAAGCCCGGCCCCTCCAAATGGAGAAATGCCAGAGCTGCTTTTAGTCCCAGTCGGTGCATGCCCGAGAGCGCACCTGAAGCTCGAGACGCTTACGCTAGACTCCCTCCTTCCCAAATCAGCCACCATGGGTCACGGCTACACTACACTTTATTTCCAAGCAAATCTCGGACAAATCTGGAGGAATATTTTATTCGAGGGGGACAACGGCCGCTCGCATCGCAGTCCCCGGCTGAGCGCTGGCGTCAGCCACGCACCCGTGCGCGTCCCCGCGCCTCCCAACACGCCCCTCAACGCGCACGCGCGCGGCCGCACGGCGACAATCCCTCCAGCCTCCCGGGCGCTTCCGCCTTCAATCTAGTAGTGACGCCGAGGCCCCGCCCCCTCCCGGAAGTTGCGGGCCGGGAGCTGGGCGCCAGGCGCCGCGAGGTCCCTGACTGGCTTTAGGGGACGCCTCCCGGAGGGAGGACCCCGCGGGGAGAGAGCGTCCCGCGCGAGGGCCGCACGTTCACGTGCGCGGCCCGGAGCGGAGTGAGACCTGGTGAACATGGCGGGGCCGCAACCCCTAGCGCTGCAACTGGAACAGCTGTTGAACCCGCGACCACGCGAGGCGGATCCAGAGGCCGACCCAGAGGAGGGTGAGGTGACTGGGGCAAGGCCACGTGCGGGCCCGCGCCGCGTGTGAGGGCCGCCTCCTCCTTCCTGTGTGGAGGAAAACTGCCTCCCGGAGGGTTGCCCCGGGCTCCGGAGGGCGCCTGGGCTGCTGACACGCTGTCCGCGGTAGACTCGGTGCCCGGGTGGGCGGAGCGTCCCGCGGACTGTGGCTTGGCAGCTGGGTCCGGGGCTGCCGCGGGGAGCCAGAGTCTGGTCGCAGGCGGGGAGTTCCTGTCAGGGTGCTCCTACAGGGATTGTGTGAGG